ATACCACTTCTTGGGTGCATCGTTGGTAAGAACGGTGTACGTCCTGATCCCGAAAAGATCAAGGCGATCACCGACTGGCCTGTGCCGGTTGATGTCAAAGGTCTTCGAAAATTCCTTGGGCTAGCGGCGTATTTGCATAAGTATTCACGCAATTACGCCGAGATGACTGTGCACCTCTCTCGTTTGTTGAAAAAGAACGAGAGGTGGTTATGGAACGCTGAATGTCAACGCTCCTTTGAGGGTATCAAGCAGAGCTTGATACAATCACCAGTCCTAGCAATAGCCGATCAGGACAGGCCATTTCATGTGGTCTGTGATGCCAGCGATTTCGCAATCGGCTGTGCATTAATGCAGTACGATCTTGAAGGCGTTGAACGCGTCGTCTGCTATCAGTCGCGTCAGCTGCAAACAGCTGAGCGGAACTATCCAGTGCATGACAAGGAACTCCTTGCCATGAAGTATGCACTCGCGAAGTTCAGAGTCTATCTATTAGGAGATAGACCCTTCGTTGTTTACACTGACCATGCGTCATTACGCACGGCAGTGAACAGCCCGCACCTTTCACAACGAATGGCGCGGTGGTTGTCATTCTTTGCGGAATACAACTTTACGGTCAAGTACAAACCAGGACGACTTAATGTCGTCGCTGATGCACTCTCACGTCGTCCCGACTTTGAAACAGTCGCGAAATCCAACAGTGAGACAGTCACTGTTGCGGTTATGACGTCCTCAGTCCCATCTACAACGTTGTATGATGATGTGAGGCGGGCATACGCCCAAGATGGTGAGATAGTGAAGTTGTTGACACATCTCTCCCAACCATCTCGAGAATCGTTGAAACGATTGTCGTCTGCGTATCGATCTGCATCAGATCGATACACTACTCGTAACGGTTTACTGTACTATACAGCCGTTTCTGGTGACACACCACGTGTTGTCATTCCAGATGATACTGATCTGCGTTTGCGGATCATGTTCGAGTATCACGATGCTCCTATAGGAGGACATCGTGGCCGAGAGAAAACATATCTCACGGTAAGTCGAGACTTTTACTGGCCCCGCCAGTATCAGTTTGTGCGAAAGTATATTCGCGCATGCGAAGTCTGTCAACGAGTGAAGTCAAGTCCTTCACTGCGTGCACCTTTACAGCCTCTACCGGTTCCGGCTGAGTGCTGGGAATCCATCTCAATGGATTTCGTCTTCGGGTTACCCAAAGACGCACGCGGGAATACGGGTATTCTCGTATTTGTTGACAGATTCAGCAAAATGGTACACCTTGTGGCTGTACCAGAGACAATCACGGCAAGTGGCTGTGCTTGTGTCTTTATTGACACCATCTTCCGACTTCATGGGTTGCCCCGTGAACTCGTATCAGACAGGGATCCACGATTCACTGCTGATTTCTGGCGTTCCGTGTTCAAATCACTCGGAACGCGCTTGAAGATGTCAACATCTGATCATCCAGAGTCAGATGGTCAGACGGAACGTGCCAATCGTGTCCTTGAAGAGATACTTCGAGGATACGTACACTCCTTTAAGAGTTGGAGTGAGTTTTTGCCAATGGTAGAGTTTGCCATCAACAACTCGGTGCATGCGTCCACGACACATACACCGTTTTACGTGAATGGCTTGCGCCATCCGCGTGTACCCACCTTACTAGAGTGTAACTCTGGTTTAAGGGGGGAGGGACTCGCGCGAGCAAAAACCGATTTGGTTCACGCTCATCACGCTCTGACGAAGAAGTCATTGCGTTTGATGCCGATATCGATAACATCGATATCGAAGAAGATGATGCCAGTGAGAGTGCGGAAGCCCTCACTGAAGAAGATGATCCCAGTGAGAGTGCGGAAGCCCTCACTGAAGAAAAGGTTGATGTTGCTGCAGTGCGCTCACAGCACACTGAAGCTAACGAGTCATCAGATGAGTTCATACTGGCTCGTGAAACGGTAGTCCGTTTTGTGCAAGACTCCATCGCCGAAGCGGTGGATAAGCAAAAGCAAAACGCTGATAAGAATGGAAGAGCAAACACTCTTTTATTTAATAAAGGTGACTTAGTCCTACTGTCTACGGTTAATCTACCAAAGCATGTAGTGACTAACTTGGGTAGCAGTAAACTACTACCCAAGTACATTGGCCCATTTCGTGTATTGAACCGCCTAGGCAATGCATACACGATCGAGTTGCCACGTAAGATGCGAACGCATCCCACGTTTAACGTTGGTCGGCTTAAGCCGTACCATCAGTACGCTGCTTCTTCCGATGAAGAACGCCCTTGCGCTCTAGCATCTCGCAGAGAGCCTTGTGCTCCCGATGGTGGGCATCAACAAGGGTCTGAAGAGCAGCTATCTCATCCCGAGACCGATCAGCAATCCCACGAGCTACCCTTAGCTCGTCACGAAGAGATCTCAGAGATCTCTCGTTCTCAAGCTGAGCAAAGGCAAACTCAGCTCGATGCTTCGAGGCAGTGTCCGCCATTTGGAGACGCCTATTCCGCTCATGCTCGAGATCGTCGCGTAACCCTTGCGTTACGCAATCAAAGAAGCTCTCGGGAACACACCGATCCACATGATCGTGTGGAGAGCGTCTTTCCTCCTCCTCCACCTCCATTAGAGGACTCTCGCGGTGGCCAGCGCTATCTAGTTGAGCAGCTGTTGAACCACCGCGACGTGAACGGACGTCGGACGAGTTATCTCGTCCGGTGGCGCGGCTATCCCCCGTCCTGGGATTCTTGGGAGCCCCGCTCCCAACTGATGATCGACGTACTGGGTCTGGTTGAGCAGTACGACGCGGCACATCCTGTGCCGCAGAAGGACCGCCGGAGAAAGTCTTCCCGGCACGGTCGTAAAGGGATTTCAGGTTGTCAATCCCTTCGTACATCTCAGTAGAGACACGTACGCGCCACCACGGGCTGGTAAGGAGGTAAGCCTCCTTAGGTGCTCGTGCAGAGTTGTTCACACAACACGGGCACGAGTCTCCCCAAGAGAGGCAGGGTAATCCTTTCTCCCTTGACAGACGATGCAGCTTGTAGCGTGCACCTGTCGGGGTTCGCTTTTCAAACTTATCACGAGCTTTGATAAGTTTGTCGTTCCAAGCGTCACGACCTACATCCTCGAGGTTATGGATGTAGGCGTTCCACGCCTGAAGTAGTGAGGGACCATCACGTTTGTGATTCCCACTATACCATCGATGCCTAAAGAAAGCATCGATGAAGAATTCATGTTCAGCGCGATAGTTTTTCACGCTGGGGTCAAGGTGATGGATCCTTGACGAATCGAACAACCGTGTTCGATAACGATCACTCGTCGTCGCCGACAAGTGATCCATGACGGATTTTGGAGGCATCCATGCCTTCTTCTCAGGAGCGAGACGCAACACATTGCGGTCCCGCTCTTCCTGCGACGTGCCGACAGAAGTACTGGCACCTCGCTGTGAAGTGGTGTCCATAGGAGAACCGACACCACTGTTAGCGCCCGAGTCTCGCGACCTCGAGCGCCTTCGCTTCGGCGATGGTTCATCTGACTCATCAGATGAACCAAAGATGCTGCGACGCAAAGCATCGTCCATGCCACGCTTGGCAGGCGGCTTAGATTCAATCGCCGTCGATACGGATCCGTCATCCGTATCAGGAGAGTACGAGACACCGAGCTCGTACTCTGTGAAGACACGAGTGTCTTCATGACCAGCGCCTGCATCACCAGGTGATACAGGCTGAGTCGATTCAGCAACCGATGAGACATCAGTTGCTGTTGTTTCTGCTTCGGCGTCCGCACAGAGACGTGCAGACGCGCTCTCGGCGGCCTTGTTCGCGCATCGCATGGGCTTGTTTACCATGCGATGAGATGTTGGAAAGTGGACGCGGACCAACAAGTGCAAACCCTGTCCCAACTGATTTGGGACGAGCATCCATTTAGTCAATCAGTCATTAAAGTGACTGATGGTTAAGGGGGGGGTGATGTAACGGGGTGAATCGTTACATAACAATTTATAAGAAATTGTTAATAGAATATAAATATAAGGGTTACATTCTTAGAATATTGTCATAAGGACTAACATTCTGCAGCACTTACGAGTAGTTCCTAATTGGTTGATATAGGCCATTATATCAACCAACGAAGACGCGCCACGACAGACGCACGCAATGAGTGGTGAGCAGATAACTGATTTATACATTTGTATTTAGACATAGTTAGATGAAGATAAATAGTGATTTATTGCAGACATTAACTATACTAAATACAGTTCTACTTTTTACTTTAACCAAGTACTCGCTTCTTCTTACCGTCTTCCTCTGCACGTACGAGTGTACGTGAAGTTCCGAGGCACCGCCTTATTCTGTCATCAGAATAAGTAGCTTGTACTGTCACCAGTACAAGCTTCAGGGTGCCCCGTTACATGAATGGTATAGTATCCATATTATACTTGCACGCAGTAGCCCAGCTTTGATTGGATTTTACCCACAACCCTTCGGCCGCTAACATGATGTCTCCCTTGACCCCGCTTGTGCTTTTCCTGCACACGCAATTATTTTTCCCGCTACGAAGCTGTAGCATCAGTTCTCCCTCTACTAGCGCCTGTACAGTCTGGTAAAGTCGCAGCCGCTCCTTAGAATCCAAGACACTCTTCAAGGAAGTTGGCATGCGCCGGCCGTCTATACTTCTCTCCGCCAGATCACTAATTATCTTTCATTCATCTGGAGTGTCATCCCGGAGCCGACACCCACTCGGTGCCGCCTCCGATTTCAGACAGTAATTCCGCAACATAGCGATGTCCGCCGTACTGTAAACAGCGGGGTTAAACATAAAATCCAGGTATTAGCCCCGGGACTTGTGCGTGCTGCTGGTTCCACCACGTGCGTCAATAAAGATGTACTAGTGTCTGTTTATTGATTGAGCGGTTTGATTTAAGATCATTTAACCTTGCTAAGCATGTTTTACATGATGTGCTTTAAGGACCAGCTGAACCGTTTCGCGAAGGAGCCCTCTCCGACTATACACGCCTCGTCAACAAATTAAAACGGCAGTGCTTTTCTCGTCCCCGCGGAGTTTCGGGTAGCGGTGTTTGCCCGACGAGACTCGCTCGGCATCGATTGGCAAAGAGCTGTGCTCGATCGCGTACAGTGTAGCTACTGTCGTAGTCCACGCTTCCCTCGGATCTTCGTTTAGCGCCGCCTTCCGTGCCGCAATTACGGCGTCAAACATCTCTTGTAGATGAACCTCATCAATTTGCTGTCCCTTGGGCTCGCCATGCTCTTTGTTACCGCTGGCAACACTATCAGAAGACGACTCGCTTACGGAGGAAGAGCCCGCCGCCACCTTAGATGATACCGTTGCATCAGTAGTAGCGGTTGCTTGCCCAGCCTCAGCTCCGACCGGAGCTACGAGCGTATCGGGCCCTGTCTCGTCAGATAGGGCTGTAACGTCTTACTCGCGCTCTTATCTCCCTCTACCATGGTCATGGCTGGAATTGGTCCACCCGGATCCGGCGGTTAGCATCTCAGCTCGGATGGCGCTCTCCCTGGGTCTGCCGAGCCGTGCATGACGTCGGCCTGTCGTCGATAGGTCTACGGTAACCAGTAGAGAAAGACTTTGCGTCATAGTAGTTCGAGATCCTCCCAAACCTGGCAGATTGTAAGAAGCTGCCAGGGCAGTGCTAAATGCGATGCCAATCTGGTATTAAATGTTCGACTGCGTTACTGCGTGTTAAACGTACGTTTTCGCGTTGGATCGATCCTTTTAGCCAGTCAACAATCTATTTGAGCGCTCTAGACATTGAAAGGCATAAGAAGTCAAACGGCCCGAGCAACTGAAGGCTAGACGCTGACTCATTATCTACTGCACGGAGATACCGCTCAATGTACCGAGGAATATGGCATACATGCTGCTTCTGAGTAGCTTCACATCGATTTGGCTCGAAGAGAAGCTCCATGCTTTAGCCCCGATGACGAAGAAAATTTGTAGAAGGAAATGAATCGTTGGAAACAAGACACTTTTTATCGGACAGCCTCACTCTAAAAGTGGACTTATAAGGATATACAGCTCCCGTCTATATAGTGCTTTAGACTTTGTGTATCCTTTTGCCTCGGTGCGACTCACTTGCCTGATCGACGGGACTGTGGTCACGTATCGTGTTTTTCTGCTTGCATCAGTCCCTTTCGACTTTCGGTACTTGTTCACTGTATCAAACATAAAAAGTTACTACGTTTGGTAAGACTGCGCTTTTGCCCCGCCAGAAAGAACGATTGAAACTCCAGGTTTAATGCAGAGTCAAATGTTCATTTGCCGGTACATTGATTCGTTTGTTGTTGTTTTTCTTGGTTTTTATTCGTACCATAACCGATGTCTTCTGACGTTTTGTGTGCAGTTCCAATGTCAGCTCACTTGTTAGCACCACAAGGGAATTGAGCGATATTAGACCATGATCACGTCACTAATGACAGGTACGGCATCTCTGCTAACACTACCGTGCATACAGGATGTGACGCGAGCAAAGTTCACCATGATAGGCTGCTACAATAAGTGAAACCAATCCTTGTTCGACATTATAAGTGACTTTGACGAATTAGTCCATCTCGTATCGGATTTCGTCTGGTAGGGAACGCATTTCTGTAATAAGCTGAGCCTGTTGCATGTAATTAACCCGTGGTATTTGTTTATTAGAAGATTATAATCGAGTTAGATAATGATCGTAAATATCGACAAACGGTAAAATGTTTAAAACAGTCACCGATTGACTGACATAAGCCATCATATTAGCCATCTCTAGCAGTCTAATCAACGAAGGACTCGCGCAATGAGCAGTGAGCAATACTTAGGCATATATTTTGCAGAAAAAGATTAGGACTAGAGCATAGGTTAATATTTAGGACTTAATTAAATTTAATACAGTTTTGCTTTTTACACCTATGACTCCTCGTTCATTAGCTAGCCTTCCTCTGCACTTACAGTGTACGTGTAGCGACGCGCGGTACTACCTGCGCTGTTTTTCAGTGACGGTGCACTAGCACTGAAGAAGTTTTAGTGACCAGTGCCCCGTTAAACCTGGTAGCACTTTGTAGTCCGTCCAAGGACCACAACCCCTACCTTCAACATGAACATGCTGGATGATGATACTGACATCTTTCACGCCACGCATGCATGCTACTCCTATTTAAGTGACATCGAACAGAGCGCGGTCGAGCGAATGGGTTCGACCAACGGCGAACATGCCGTCTCTGTCATGCTGTCCGCACTGGATAGAGATTGTCATAATGCCGCTGTCGACAAGTTCATAAAACATGAACGTATCAAGTCACGGTGTTAATTAACCTTGCTTCGTCAGCAAAGTTCACAGCAGACAAAGCTGTTGATCGAACAAAGTGCTCAACAGTTCGAACTGTGAGACAACAGCAGCAACATGCTGCTGTTCTCGGGGCGACGAACTCGCGCCGGCCCGAAAATTTAATGATAGGTATCTCATGCATAGAGGAGTCAAGAAAGACTCCCTTCTGAGACGGTTTGTCGAGTTAAATCATGCCATGTAGACTCGTCACATCGTTGATGATCAAATGCAAGTCGCATTTGCTCAGCTGAACCTGGTTAGACGTGCCAAAACCTGGGAATTAAGGCTCAAATTGCACGACTCTTTTGTGTTTGGGTCGTTGGAGGTCTTCAAGACACGGCCAAAACGTTCAAACCACGAGGGGCTGAGTTCAGGGCTTCATCAGATCTCCTGAAATTCAAGCAGGGTAAGTGTTATGTGCACACTAACGCCCAACACATTTGACTCCTTTCGAGTTGCATCACGGCCAACCCGGATCATGAACACGACATGATCACTGTGTTCATGCAGAGTCTTGAGAATAGTCTCGTCACGACTCACCTGTTCTACTTGGAACTAAAAATGATAAAGAAGCGATATCAATTGCAAAACATGAAGACATTTCAATTATACAGGCTCATGCTATTTCGGGTTCATATCGTTCTCAAGACGACAAGAAGTCCTTTTTCCAGAGCCATTGGACCTCTTTCAGTTGAAAGCAAGCGACTTCGCCTTCAGCTAACAAACGAGTGCAGAAGTGCAATCGCTGTCAGAAGTTTGGACACTACGCTTACGAGTGTAAAGCCCTACACCTAGTGTCTCGAAACACTGAGCGAACTGATAGACCATTTACCAAGACGGACAACGGACGCGGGTTCAAAGTTGCTGCAAATTCTCTAAAGCGTAGCGGACCAAAAAAAAACAATAAGGACCAGTGGGGGCGTAGCGCCCTGCTGATCCAGCAAGCTTAAGAGAATTTGCAAATCTCTTGATCAAAGTTGCTAAAGACTCATACAATTGTGTGTCTCTGCACTTGGTGATGAGGTAACCCTCATCACGTTACAGTAAGAAGTTACAAAAGGTTTGTTATTTCGTAAATCCTAGTTGGCTGTGGGGCGTCGAAAAACTTTGTGCGTCGCCAGTCGCTAGATGATTATAGGCTTGAGTTTGTTGAGCGCGATACCCCTCCGAAGAGGATGAAGGTTCGCCTTGAAACAGACACATCAATAGCAGTGACCTAACGTGTATTGGGATTTCACTATACTTTAATACATTTGTCGTACGATGATAATTTCGTCAAACTTGATTGACTGACAAGTTTGATGTCATCCTAGATTTGTTTGGTTTAAAAAGCATGAACTAAGGGTCAGCTGGCAGCATCGAACCGTGAAGATGCCTGATACTCGTTCACCATATGGCCAGCTGCTAAAGTCTTGGAGCGTCCACAAGCGTGCGGATGTGCCGCAAGTAAGTGCGATGGCCTCACTTGCAGGACGGTCGTTAGTACCACTGCACAATATCACAGATTGCGAGCCAATCACAATGTGAAGGAATCTGCCGGCGGCCGTGAGAATGCACAAGCAGCTCAGAAGGTTCATCATTCGAACAAGTCGAGTGGATCGGGACATGGGTGTACTTCTAGCGGGCGACATACAAGGAAAAATAAACTGGGTAGCCACACTGGGCAACACGATGATTCCAGATTGGTCAAAATTCGATCGTAGTGGACCTAGCTGTGGTTGCGCTGCCACAGCTAGAAGACGTAGACGAAATAAGTCCCTGTGACTTAAAGAATTTGCTTTTGAAGCAGTTGTTGATGAGGTGAAAAGGCATCATCAATTTTATGGAATTAGTACCCAGCAGCCTGTAAAAAGGGGTCCTAGAAAGAAACCGATACTTTAAATGTCTGGATAATGAAGGATCAATCGTAAGCGCTTGTACACCTTATCTGATCGCGCCTTTGAAGTTGACCTCGGAGATCACACAATTGCCAACGCTAGAACCAAAACGGTTCTTGCGATATCTGTAAGAGCAATATCAAGCAGATTTGTGTACTCCGTCACAGAGGACAATAATGTGACTAACATTGGGTCAAAAGTAATAGGTGCCAAACGCTTCTCAGTAGCTCATCGATAGACAAAAGTGTCCTTAACGAGAAGATTTGCATTGAGCGATACAATTCTTTATCTTGGGAGTCGCTTCAGGCAAATCCTTTTTACAAGAATTTGATCGAATTCAAGGATGTTTTCCCTGAACACATGCCATGCGAGTTGCCTAACGACTAAGTCGTCCGACACGAGATAGAACTTAAACCGGACTCGACATATATGTCATGAGTAGTGGCCAATGCCCCGTGAACAAGTACTAGCAATTTACACTTTCTTTGTGGATCGCTTTGCAACGATCCATATGAGTGAACCAACTTCCCCCAACAGCTTTTCGACCTTCTGTGTGCGAAAGACCATTGGATAATGGAGGACAGTCCACGCATTCAACAAGTTGAATTCTGCAATGGTACCGGCTCAGACGCCGATACCGAGGAAGGACTTGCTCATTTATAATATCTCAAAGAGTACCATCTTTTCGTTCATGGATTGTATGGACTGATTCTTTTAGATCCTATGCGTGAGAGGGACATCCCGTATGCGGCAGTCAACATCCCAATCTTTATTCTCTGGAAGTGTCTACTTATACCACAACGGCTTAGCAACGCCCCCAACACATTCAACAGATGTGTTACTAATCTGTTGAGACCGGTGCGAGCCTTTGCACCAAGTTACTTCGGCAGTGTGTTCGTCCATATCCGGGCAACTGGCGTATGTATAGGTACATAAAACACATATTCGTAAGGTTCTTTAGCTTATGTGCAAGCACAAGCTGTATTTCAAGCTCAAAAAGTACACAATTGCTGCCAGCGATATACCACTTCTTGGGTGCAGCGTGGGTGAAAACGGCGTACGCCCTGATCCAGAAAAGATCGAGACAAATAACGACTGGTCTGTGCAGTCAGCGTTGAATAACTTAGAAGATTCTTTGGATTAGCGGCGTACTTACACAAGTACTCGCGCAACTACGCCGAGATGACCATTCACCGCTTTCTTTTTTGAACAAGTTTGAGGCGTAGTCACGGGACGCTGATTGCTAGCGTTTTCTGAAGGT